TGGACAATAATGGTAATGATGATAATGATTCATATTTAAGGTTTGCAAAATACCTTGCTTAGAACAGTCCTGTAAAGTTGATGAAGATTTTATTATCTCCATTATATAGGTAAGGAAACTGAGATCTTAAGAGATTAAATGTGACTTTTCCTTCATCACGAAGCTAGTAACTCCTAGAGGTGGGGTTCTAATACATCTTCTGACTTGAAGTCCATTTTCTATCCACTGCATAATTCCTCAATCTGTTACTTTTTATCTCTGTGGCCTTAAATGAAGTTCCGCCTCTGAAGTCACTTAATACCTTCAAGTTCTTTCTGAGTTTCCCCATCTAGTTGGGTAATAATACATCTGAATATCTCACAGATAAGTCATGAGGAAAATGAGAGTCAGAGGGGCCAGTTTTGTGTCACAGGTCTACCACTAATTACCTTTGTTATCTTATGCAATTACTTATCCTCTGTGGCCTCAGTTTCTTTATCTTTAAAATGGGGGGGTTGAGAACTGACTAGATGACCTCTGAGGTCCCTTCCTATTTCAAATCTATGTCATGTTGTAACTGTGAGCTATTACTATCATATATAAATATATATATATTTCTATATACATATATACACATATACTGTTGGTGTTTCAGTAATGTTGGACTCTTTGTGACCCCATTTGGGGTTTTCTTGACAAAAATACTAGAGTAGTTTGCCATTTCCTTCTCCAGCTGATTTTACAGATGAGGAAACTGAGGCAAAAGGGTTAAGTGACTTGCCCAGGGTCATGCAGCTAGTAAGTGTCTGAGGTGGAATTCAGGTTTTTCTGACTTAAGGCCTACTGTTCTATCCACTACACAACTTTGTAGTAGCGCTCTCTCTCTCTCTCTCTCTCTCTCTCTCTCTCTCCCTTTCCACAAATACATGTATGTATGTCTGTGTGTATATGTATCTGTGTATATGTAAATATACATACACACATACATATATAATATACACACACTATAATCTTTGACAGGCTTCCAATTCATCAAGTTGCCTGGGCTTATGGCTCTGCTCTCTGTGCTTTAGAAACTTGCAAAAAAAAGTGAGGTCATGACAACTTCCCTCATCATCATTCACTATTTCTTACCTTCCTTCTCAGTTCAGAACTCTGAGGGAAACACTGGAAATACAAAGACTTATTAGATAGGCTCAGTTCCCGGCCTGGAGCAGATTACACAGTCTAGTAGAGAAGACCTCAGAAAGACATTACAAAGCAGCCTAGTAAATGCTGAATGTCAATCCAGGCACCTAGCTAATAATCCTTAGGCTTCTTGCATGGTGAGCATGTCTGATTATTCGAACTAACCTTTAAAAGAGTATATGTGGATCCAGCTCCAGGGAAGTGCATGGGCTTTTGAATTGTTCCAGTGGATGGGAAGGGAAGGCTTTGGTATGTGAGATGACAAAGGCTCTTATGCCCAAGATATACCTCTTCTTCATTCAATCAAAGAACCTATCATATGACTAGGTAGATGTGTGTGTGTGTGTGTGTGTGTGTGTGTGTGTGTGTGTGTGTGTGTGTGTGTGTGTGTGTGTGTGTTACCAGGTAGCCATCTATTGCCTGAATGTCTCATATTTTTCTTCTGGAAGAATTTATGGCATATGTTAGGTAATGTACTTGGAATCAAAAGACCAGTGTTGAAAATTCTGTCTGTTACTTCTCATCTCTATGGCCTTGGAAGAGGTTCTTAACCTCTTTAAGCCTCATTTTTCTTACCTATAAAATTGGGATTATTGTTTTTGCATTATCTACCATTGTATAGAGATCAATGTGATAATCTATATAAAGTGCTCAATACATTTAACTGAATATATATTAAGCATTTACTACATTCAATTAATGTATTAACTGCTAGGAACAATAATGCGCAACTCATACTAGGCCTAAGGGATACAAAAATGAAATAACATAAACAGTCCTTACACAAGATCTTACAGTGTATTCAGGGAAGGAGGGGAGAGGAAGAAGTGTACAAAAATTGCCATGATTCAAGGAAGGCTCTAATCAGTAAAAGGAGAAATTTAATTCCTGATTCAGTTTCTTCTCTATCCTATCTGTTGCCATTATTTAAGAAGACTTGATCATTTATGTTGGCAAACATTATGTTATTCTACCAGTGCAATCTTTAATCTCCTTAGCACCACTGGTCCACTTTGAGCCAAACATTAACACAGTCACGTCTTAAATTTCACTAGCTCAAAGATATCAAAATACTTCTAAGATCATATGCTCAAACTCTAGTGTCTATCCACAACCTGTTCTTCTTTCTCTTCTCTACTTTCAATCATGTTAAATTTTTTGTTTACCCTCCTCGTATTTGATACAATTACTCCTATTCGTTTTTTGCATCTTCCCTGGCATGGCTTGTTATTTCTATGCTCATGCTTGATCCCAAGTTTTGCCATTTGATATTAGCTAGCTGTCATCTTAGAATTCCCCACCTGGCCTTATATTATTCCTGACCTTATTCTTGGGTAAAACTTGGGCATAAAATACTTATTCCTGGGTAAAACTCACTATCTGGTTTTATTACTTCTATACTGCTGAGGGTTTTTGAGTGAAAATCTTAAGATAATTTTTAGCCAATCAATCAATAAAAATCAACAAACATATTGAGAAGGTTTTAGGGGAAAGAATCGGTTTTATTTCAACATATTGAGTTTGAAATGTTTGTAGTACATCTAGTTGGAGATATTCCAGAGACATCTGTTGAGACATGCTTGAAGTTCAAAAGGGATACTAGATATCGACATATTGTGATATATACAAAAAATCACAGTTGAATCTCGAGGAACTGATGAGAAAGTGGGTAGAGAGTGAAGAGAAGAAAACCCAGGCTAACATTGTGGAGTATAACCATACTGAGGGGAGTGGAACATGGGTGATGATCTAGAAAAGGAATTTGGGAACAAATGGACAGAAAGTTATGAGGAGAACTCTAAAGGAAAAAATCTACAGGGAAAAATGCTACAGGAAAAAAAAACCAACAGAGAATATATAGGAAGAGGAAGTGATCAACATGTTCAGTTCTCCAGAGAGGTCAAGAAGGTTGAGAAATGAGAAGAAGCAATCAGATTTTTCACCTAAGAGATTACAAGTGATCATGAAAACAGTATTTTCAGTTGAGTAATGAGGTCAGAAGCCAGATTTAAAAGTGGTTGAGAAGTTAGTGAAAGGTGAGAAAATTGATGCAAGCTTTGTAGATAGCTCATTGTAGATTGTAGATAGCTAAGAATGAATAAATGTAAAGTTTGACTGTGGAAAGATAGGACAGAGATAGAACCATTGGTTGAAAGGATGGTAGGATCAAGTGAAGTTTTCTTTTTTTATTACTAGGGATATCAGAACATATTTTTAATATTTTTTTCCAAGTACAGTAAAAACCATTTTAAACATTCTTTTTTTAAAATTTTAAGTTACAAATTCTCTCTGGGCATATCTTTAAGCAATAAGGAAGGATCAGTGAATAAAGAATAAAAATTAGGTAGAAAGAAGGGATGTTCATCTTCAAAAGCTCCTGAAAGAGGCACTGACCACCAAAGCAGAATGGTTGACATGTGTAAATATGAACCATTTTTTTCCTTTAAGACTGAAACAAATAAGGAGAAAAGGGATGATGTGGAAGTGCCTTGAAGTTTAGAATTGGGGAAAAGGAAAAGCTTATGTTTGATGTCTTCGTTTTTTTTCTAGTGAAGTATGAGTCAATACCTTATGCTAAAATGGAATGAAGGAGTGAGTGTAATAGCTGGCTTAAGGAGAAAAGAGAAGTTTTGAAACAGAGTCAGGAGTGGGATAAAAAAAATGTCATGGAATTCCCGTTCAACCTTTAAAGCCCAACTTGAATACCACCTTCTCTGTGGAGTAATGCCCTTACCCTTTGGATGTCATGTAGTGCTTTGCTTTTTATCTTTCTAATGCAAATACTATATAATGTAGGGTTTTATGATTTCTTTTATTTGTGTCTTATTACCTTGCTAGATTGTAAGCTTTATGAAGACAGATATCATATCTTATCTACTACTATTTCTAGTAGGACCTAGCACAATGTTCTTAACAAATTAGACTCTTGATGTTTGTTAAATTGAATTGTCCAGGTCAAATGTGATTGAAGTGTGGATTAGGTTGGCTACAGTGAGAGTAGAAGGGACAAGCTAGTTGGAATTAATAGGGTTTGGTAGTTGATTAAATTTGGAGGTATAAGTAGAGGGGAAAGAATAAAAGATGAACCATTTTATTCCCTGGATTACTGGGAGAATGACAGCACTATCTGCAGAAATAGGGTAGTCAGGAGAAAGAGTAGATTTTGGAGAAAGCTGATGAGTTCAGTATTAGGAATGTTGAGTTTTAGGTTCTGAAGAGATCTCCATGTGAGCATAATAAGTGGACAGAAATCTAGACTAGAGCTCTGAGAATAGGAATTTGAAAATCATCTACATAGAGGTGGTAATTGATGAAATTATGGGGGTAGAGAGAAAACATGTAATAGGATCAAAGACAGAATTGTAAAGGGTGGTGGAAGATAATCTCACAAAAAAGGGGTCAAAGAGGAGGAGAAAAACCATGACAATTTGGTGTCATGGAAACCAAGAGAGTAGAGAGCATTTGGAACAGGAATTTGTAATTTGGAGTCCATGGATACATTTTAGGGGGATCTGTAAAATGAGAAAGAAATTCCATCTTTATTTTCATCTACCTTTGGTTTCCTGAAAGACAAGTAGGTGGCATAGTAGATAGAGCACTGGTCCTAGAGTCAGGAAGACTGAAGTTAAAATCCAGTCTCAGACACTTGCTAGCTGTGTGACCCTGGGCAAATCACATAACCTGTCTGCCTCAGTTTCCACAACTGTGAAATGAGGTCCATAATAGTGCATATGGAGAAATACAACACATTTGGGGGTAGTGATGAGTTATACATGTTACATGGTTGTAATTTGGTTTTTGATTGTATTGTGACTCTTGCCTTATTTGTTCAGCTAGGATTGTGTCTAAGCAGAGCTTCAGCATCAGTTCTCAACTTCAACTGCAGTCTTATTCTTTTACCGATGTGCCGGACATTGTTGGCCTTCCTGCGGGGCTCCCAGAAGGTAGGGGCAGAGTTGCTGTGGAGTGCAAATTCCAGTTGGAAAACTAAATGAGACAGTGCCAGCTCTCAATGACCTCGTCATCTTTCTATCCACCCCTCATGTATGTATGAGATCTTTCTGAGGTCTAAGCAGCTTTGACCTTTCTGTAATGTTCAAACTGTTGCCCAGCTTGCCCTTGATGCATCTTCATTCTTCAGTTTCTGCGGCACTGCTCTTTCTTGATCCTACTCTAATCTATCTAACCCTCCTTTTTGATCCTTTTTTGGTTCATCTTCCTACAACCGCCCTACTAAGTGAAGTGAGGGTGTCCTGCAAGGCTCTGTCCCCTGCTTTTCTCTCCTTATAGTCTCTTTCTTGGCAATTTCATCTGCTCATCTGATCTCAACTATTGCTCCTATGAATGATTCCCAAAACTGTATTTCAGCTCCCTACCAGCTGTCTTCATCTGGGTGTCTAAAACTGAATCCACTATCTCCCCTCCTTTCCCAGTCTTCTACAAACTTGTTCCCCAAATCTCTCATGTTCTTGATTCTGTTGAGGAAACCACCATTCTCTCAGTCGCCAAGGCTTCAAACTTTAATGTTGCTTTCGATCCTTCCCTTTCCCTCTCTCCCTCCTCCAACACCCAATTATTTGCCAACAACTATTGATCCTACCTCCTAACTCATACATCTTTTCTTTCTCCTGCTTTGCATGGCCAGCACCTTAATTAAAGAATGTTATAATAGTTTCCCAAGTGATTTCCTTTGTTACAGTCTCTTTCCTATTCAATCATACTTTGAATGTTTTAAGAGTCCATGATTTCATCTCTGTGAGTATTCTCACCACTAGAGGCACATTACAACTCCCCAATGCCTTTAGTGTGTGTGTGTGTGTGTGTGTGTGTGTGTGTGTGTGTGTGTGTGTGTGTGTGTAGGACACTTCACACAGTTGCTGAAATAATTCCCTTGCTTTCCATTTCACCATGCCAATCACCTGCTCAAAAACCTTTAGTGGCTCCCTATTATATATAGGGTCAAATATAAAGTCCTTACTTTATCCCTTAAGAACACCCCTAATTTGGCTGCAGTCTACTTTTGTATCCTTATCTCATGCATACTCTGTTCTAGCTGAATTGCACTGATAGCTGTTTCTCTACCTCAGTCCATTCTCTCGTTCCTCAGATTTATCAGGTGAAATGCTTTTTTTCTCAGTTCTGATGCTGCATTTTTCATGAAGCCTTCCTTGATTCTGCTCTCCATCCCTCACACCTATTTGTACTCCTCTATAATTGATTGATCCATCTTCAAATTTTCCTAGATAGTTTTACCTTAACTTCTCCTTGACTCATCTCATTTTACATAGCATCATATTTACTTGGTACATGCTGTATTGCCTTGATTAGAGTGTAAGCTCCTTGAGAGCAGCCACTGTAATTTTTATCTTTATGTATCCACAACACTTATCATAGTGTCTCACCTGTGTTAGGGACTTTAGTAAGTATTTATTAAGATAAATCATTCAATCTATTTAAACGCATACAATAAGGTAATAATTTAAGACAAGGAACAGTTACTTGTCAGTCTGCACTGAGAGAGGAAATTTTCTCACTGGAATTCCCTAAACCAATGAAATCCTGCGTCTAGGCTCTAAGTAAATAAAATAGATGAATAAATAAATATCCCCCCCCCCACATTTACTTAAGTGTTACAGAGTTATTTAATTTTAACCATTTAAAAATAACTGTTCTTTTGGGATTGCTTTGCCTGCTCCCCACTACGCAATACCTCAAATGAATAGAAAACCACAGAATGCCAGCTTGTTGCGTTGTTTTTTGAATTTCCTTTGTTTTTAATTTAGTCAGTCACAAATATAAAATTATCATAAGACTTCTCAGACTTTGTACTCAGGATTCTCATTCTTGTCCACTGCACTTTGGCTTCCAGTTTTCAAAGGGTAAAGAAGGTGAGGATAGAGAATTGTGTTTGTCCTTCATTCTCAAAGAGGACTATGGCATCAGGGAGATGGTGACATGACTTGCAATTGACTTTGTTTTGAATGCGGGAGGCCTATGCAAGGTCACCAGCCTCACTTTCTCCTCCAGAACCATCTGGGTCCAGTGGCCAGGTATTCATGAGGACGACTGGATATAGCTCAGTGGACAGATAGTACTCTTTGTCTGACTGCTTCACATTCTCTGAAAGTAAAACATTGTTAAAATAGGAGCTGAATGATTTTTCCCTATATGATTAGATATTTTATACAGTTTAGCCTGTTACTATATTTTAGTAAAAGAATTTGTTAATTTTTTTTTCAAATTTTAGGTTGCAAGCAGAAGAACAAGAAGGCTTTTAGATAAAAGTAGAACTTTCCACATAACCTGTGGTGTTACCATATGTATCTTTTCAGGTAAGATTTTATAAGGTTGAAGGCTCGCCTAGCAGAAAGACCTTAAAAGTGCTAGAGTTATGATTTGCTATGGATAGTAACTTTCTATGGGGGAGTTCAGCTGTTGACTGTGAATAATGGCTTTCTTGTCAAAAAGATTAGACTTCTACGTATCCTTGTAAAGACCCACAGATAATTGCTTTTATTAATGCATGTCATATTATAAGAACCCAATGTTCCCCCTAGAGCAGGTCATGTCTATGTTGTTGAAAGGCAATGGTTTTATTGCAGATTATTAGGAGAAACAACATTTTAAAAAAACTTTAAAAATTACAGCTGGATTCAATGAATAAAAAGATGTTTGAAAATGAAAATATACCATAGAAACTCCTGAACAGCAGGAACTTTGTAGTTCTAGAATAATGCCACGTCCAGGATTTAGATAGCGGTGGTATATTAGGATACCTGTCTTACCACAGCCACTCCAACGCTGACCTCCCCAATTATTCAACTTTATTAGGCAGCTGGGTGGTATGATGGCTAGAGCTCTGGGGGCTTGGAATCAGGAAGACCTGAGTTCAAATTGTGTCTCAAGTACTTACCAGCTGTGTGACTCTGGGCAAATCGTTTAACCCCTCTTAGCCTTAATTTCCTTATCTGTATAAAGAGGGAGTGTGAACTGATATCCTTTTTAAGTCCCTTCCAACTCTAAATGTATGATCTAATGATGAACATCTTTACCAATTCACTAGTGTGAGGATATATCAGAATATAAGCCCTTAAGGCAGAGACTGTTTCACTTCTGGTTTTATCCATAGCACTTAACAGTGCCCGTCATGTATTTTTTTTTACTCATTTTCAGTCGTGTCTAACTCTTTGTGAACCCTTTTGGGATTTTCTTGGCAAAGATATTGAACTGGGTTGCCATTTCCTTCTCCACCTGATGTCACAGATGAGGAAACTGCGGCAAATATGGTTAAGGTACTTGCCCAGGGTCACACAGCTAGCAAGTGTCTGAGGATGGACTGAAACTCAGGTCTTCCTGACTCCAGGCCTGGCACTCTATTCACTGTAGCAACTAGATACTTAATAAATGCTTCCTGATTGACTGATTAGTTTGAGCATTTCTTCTTTAATATCTGCTCCTTAGATTGATGGTCTGGCCTCTTTTTTTCTCTGTCACATTCTCTGCTGTGGGACATGGACACTCAATCAGTCATTGTAATATACTATATTTAAGTTGGGGGTATGTAGAGGGAGAGGGGGATTGTGGGGTACAATGGAAACTAGGTGCTGCAATGAATAGAGTGCTTCTCTTGGAGTCAGGAAGATCTGAGTTTGAATCCAGTCTCAGACTTTTGTTAATTATGTGACCTTGAACAAGTCCATGTGGTCTCTGCCTCAGTTTCTTCATCTGTAAAATGAGGATAATAGTAACATATATGTCCAAGGTTTGTGGGGATAAATGAGATATTTCTAAAGCATATTACAAATCTTAAAGTTCTATAAATGCTAGCTATTATTGTTGATATTTTCCAGTCTGCCATGGCATTTATAAATAAATATAATAAGTATTCACTAGTATGATTTCTCCAACATGGATCCTTTTCTGATACAACTTCATTTCTAACTAAAAAGCTGCCTATTTATCATCATACTTCTAAGTAACTATCATGTTCCATTCCCAGTGCAGCTGTCAAAGCAGAATCTTTTTTTTTTTTTTAACAACTGACCCCTTTGTAGTGGAACTTAAATCATCCACAGAAGACTCCTAATAAATCAGGGCCTTGTTGGGTTTTCTAGGAGTCCATGTTGCTGCCCATCTGGTGAATGCTCTGAACTTCTCTGTGAATTACAATGAAGATTTCCTTGAAATAAATGCAGCAAGATATCGAGATGAGGTGGGTTTTCTGTGAGATCATATTTTCCTTTTGACTCTTGTGTGCCATTTAATGAGGTTTGATGGTTTTCTCTGGAAATCAGAAACTTGCTGCTCGTTTAAAGCATCGTAAAATGTGCTTGTTCAGTTAATTTTTTGAAATTCCTTTTTAGTTCAAGGAATATGCATTATTACAATTTCAGATCCCTTGCAGCAGATAAGGGGAACTGGAGAAGTATCCGCTTTGTAAACACATCTGCCCAGGTGTTGGCTACTCAGACTTCACTCCTAACTCCTATCATTTAGCAGCATCAGTGTCTCCACTACAGCTGCCCAATTTCACCAGGTCTCTTGAATTGCACTTTCTCTCTAAAAACATCAAGATATTTTGAGTGTTTAGGGTATCTTCATCTCCATGTCTTGCTTTGTTAATCTGGAGCCCTCCGTTCTGTGAGCCTTGAATAGCCCAGCCCCCTGCTGAATGGAACATTAAATGATATCTCTCTGGGATATACTCCCACTTCTTTTCCCCATGTCTCCAACCCTGGTAGCTCAGTATTTTAATTTGGTTCCCTGGCTGCGTATTCTAGCTTTCCATCACCTCCAAACTTAACCTGTCCTATATGACATTTGATCAGAACCCTGTTGACTGATGTTGATGGCAGGTGATAATTGTGTATTATTATTCTCTGGGTTTTGTGCCTTCTTTCTATTTTAGACTATAAACATTTTAGGTCAGCTTTGTACCTTTACTAGCTTCTAGCACAATAGCGTATGCCTGTAGTATGCTCTTAATATGTGATGATTAAATGAAAGAATTACAGATAATGATGCTTTAGCCCTTAAGGTGGCTTTTTTTTTTGCTTAAAATTATTGTTCATAATGTAGTTTATTTATATATTTAATTTACTATAATTAAAAAGTCCTGGCTTAGCAAATACCTTAGATCACTAAATGGTGAGCTAGTAGGGGAGGTGTGTGATTGGGGCTTATGTTACCCCAAGTCAGTAGCTGCTTGTTCTTCCTTGTTCTGACTAGCCTTGCTTGAAGCTAGTCCTTGACCTTGACACAATGGTGAAGAAGGGAACGGATGCTGTGTTATCTTTATGCTCAATGGGTCAAGCAGAATTAAGTAGTTGCCAATATCACTAAAAGTTGTCTAAAAGCTGTTGGTAAGTCATCTAATTTTAGAGAGAGAGAAGGAGAGGAGGAGAGGGAGGGAGAAAGAGATACATACACACATAGACAGATACAGAAACAGAAAGGGAAGCAGAAACAGACAAAGACACTTCATTTCCACATGAGAAGGATAAGTCAAACATAAGAAAAGATGACAATATTAATAGTAGAAGTCAATACAAATTAATATCAACTATTAATATTAGTAAAAGGATTTAATAATGGGAATAAGAGTATATGCAGTTGTATAATACCGTTCAGGTTACAAAGAGCTTTCATATCCATTACTCTACTTGATTCTCACAATAACACTTGAGCTGTTGTGAAGCCAATGGGTCAGGTATTGTCATCTCCACTTTACAGATGAAAAAATTGGGTCACAAAGGTTAAATGGGATGACCATGGTTATGTTACTAAATGGAGCCTTGATCTTCTGATTTCTAGTCCAATGTACTTTCAGAGATGGATGTCTGATTTCTTAAAGATGTTTCTTTGAGGTCATGCCTGAAGGAAGGGATATATCCTATGACACTGAACTCCTAGAGTCCCTTCCAACATATGAAATACTTACTATCCCTCTGAAAGGGAAGTGTCATATCTACCCAACACGTGCTTATGTTTTTTGGGTCCTTTGAAAAATTGTGCCTGATTCATCTTTTTATATTTTGTTTTCTTTCAATAATTTGTCTTTGTTTTGTTCAGGATCCCAGGAAACTTCTCTTCACCACTGGTAAGTTGCCATCAGCTGCTTTCTTTGAAGATTCTGGGAAGCCTTATAAAGTCCTCACTATCACAGTAGATTCCTCAGCTGAAATATTAAGACATATTGTATTTTTCAGAATTAGTGTTGAATATTGGGCTACAAGATTACTATTTAGAATAAGTAGCATTTTTTTTTTCTTTTTGAGCCAGAACTTTATGAAGAAAAGGGGAAATTACATAATGATACATTTTCCCTGCTGGTTCATGCTCTCACTGTCTATCCCTTTGCCCAATAGCCACATAATTAGGTTATGACATTGTATATTTAAAATTTCTAACATGTAAAATATAACTGAATTTCTTTTTTGTTTTATATGAATTTGATTTACTTTACTAATCAGTCAATCAGTACACATTTATGAATTGCCTGCTCTTTGGCAGACACTGTGCTATGTACTGGGATTACGAAGGCAAGATATGAAATGTATCTATTTTCAAAGACCTTATAATCAAGACAACAAATGCAAGTTATTCTGAGCAAGAACAAAATTAATGCAAAGCAATTAGGGAGAGTGCACATTAGCAATTATAGGGTCAACAAAGAACTTCATACAGAAGATGGTATTTGAGCTAAGTTTTGAAGAGAATGAGGGGTACCATGAAAGTATTGCAAAAATTATAGATAAACCCTAGAGATGCAATGAGAAATAAAAGGTATATATCTTAAACTATAAAGGAAATAGAATATATATTTATAAATATAATTTAAAATCATATTACATTTGGGGCAGCTAGATGGTGCAGTGGGTAGAGCATTGGGAATAGAATAAAAAAGTCCTGCATTCAAAAGCAGACTCAGACACTTACTGGCTGTGTGACTCTGGGCAAGTCACTTAAACTTTTCCTCAGTTTTCTCAATTGTAAAGTGGTAATAATAATATTTACCTCCTGGGGTTGGTGGGGGAATGAGATAATACTTGTAAAATGCTTAGCGCAGTGCCTGGCACATAGTAGGCAGGTGCTATATTAGTTGTATTACATATATAATATATATAATATAAATATTAGTTATAGTTATTATTACTATTTTAAATTTTTTTTCTATAAATTTATGTACTTTTTAACCTGATGCTTTGATTTCATAGCTTCATGGTTCTTTTAGGGAAGAACTCTGCCAATGCAGAACAGCAACTGATATGCAACTCAGAGAGTCTTTGTAAGTTGCCTATGGGTTTAGTGATTTGTCCAGGGTCACACAGATATTATGTTTTGGAGGCGGGGCTGAAACCCAAATTTTCCAGTTTCTAAGTATTTACTACTGGAAGTTGAGTAGAAAAGCAAGTCTATGTTGGATTCTTTTTATGTAGATTTAGTTACTGTAATTCAGAAAGGATCTCATGAAGTGGAAATTTCATCTCTAAGAGAAGTTCCTGGCTTGTATGATCTAGGATCAGCTATTATACAGTTAATAATTGAACATATAGTAAGCTATCTCTGCAAGTTTTTTGGACTTTCAATTTTAGAGTACCTTTTTCATAGGTGAGCAAATTCAGCAAATACCAACAAATACCCTCTTTCATCTAAATTTGTTGATCATTAATTGAAAGGCCAGTTTGTTTTCTTTTGGGAGATTTGCCACTTAATAGGAAAAAAAAACATGAGAAGAGACCCTAGTGGATTGGAATATAGATTATTTCCTATCTTGTGGTACTAAAAGTGAATTAAACACATGACAATTTGGTTCACTATGGTAAGAATACTCTTAAATTCAAAATAAAGATGTAGAATTTGATTCCCCTCTGCAAAGTCCTACTTTGATGCGTCATCCCAAAATGTAATTGTCTCCAGTTTCTTGAAGACTATACCACTGAAGTGTCAGGTTTTGTACCACATTGGAATATCTTCAAGTACAGAGCTCATGACACCGTCTGCTATCTGAGAACCAGTTTAACTAAAGTCAGTGAAGCTTGTCACTAGTAGGTTGGCCATTAGCGGATGAATGAATTATTTTGCCATGGCAACCTACAAAACAAAGAAGATATTTTATGAAAAAGTTACCTCAGCTTTTTTGACCATAGATAAAAAAATGGAAAAGCAGGGAGAAGGTAATTAAGAATGAGACAGTTCTTAGGTCATCTTAGCTCCAACCACTTTAAATGTGAGACTCCTTACTAATGACTAAATTGACGTTGAAAGAACTAAACTTTGTCAACATTGATATTCTGGTGATAAGGTAAGAAGACAAAAAGAAGTTGTAGGTAAATGGAAGGATGATTCATAGGTTTTTCTTTTAGATGTAAAGGAATTGGCTGTGGTGGTTTTATTTTATACCCCAAAGCAAGAAAAATAATTTCAAGGGGCAAGAGGGCATGCTATCTGAAATTCTTATGATCAACATAAGCAAAAAAGGCAAAGCTTTATGATAGCATTTTCACATGTATGATATGAATATGAGAAGAAAACATTCAGGATTTTATCATTCCTTACATCTTTATAGTCATACAATTGACTAAAAGGTCACAGGACCCGATGAAGGGGGAAAGAGTAGAAGAGGCACATAAGGAACTCCAACGTGCAAGCAAGAGTAATGATTGACCTGGAGGAGCTGCTTCTTAATAAGATCTCTGAGGGGAATTGTCTTACTAATTCCATTGTCTTCACAAAGCTCATTCCACTAATTCTTGGAGCCTTAATTGCCATGTAGGATCACAACATAATTGTTCAGGATGCTATTTGTGATGACACATTTATGATTATTGAAGGAGTGGAGTGAGGAAAGCAACTGATTAAGAAGCAGCACTGGCTGAAGTCCTGAAACACTTGCCAGGGCCTCTGCGGGCCCACTTTGATGTGTCATGACTTGATCCATGTTGTAGTGACTATTTGGTTTCTTTCTTTCTGCCTTGTTAAAAGATCCACTTGCCATGCCTTCAGGTGGTGAATCAGAGAATGGGGGAGTTGGGGTAGGGAGTTCTTCCTCCCTCCTTTGTGTCTGGAAAATGAGTCCCTGTTATGAGGCCGACTCAGACTGGTAGCTTTTCTGTTTTTCATCTTCAGTGTCACAGACAAGCTGACACTATCCCTCCTCTGCTTGACTCAAGAAAGAACTTTATATCAACAATCATCTAATTATTTATACCAAGTCAAATATAAAACAGAGGTATATATACTTGGCAAACATGCTTGTAACTTTCAAAAAGGATGTCTACTGCAAGGTCCAAATGATAGATACTGAGATATTTCAGATGTTTCTCTTTTCAAATGAATTGTGCTAATTGCATGAAGCCCTGGACTATTGAAGAGTCTCCTATCATCAAAGCTATTCTTGGGCAACCTGGCTTTATATAAGAATGATAACATTTTAACATTTTTCCATGTAGTCATCTATTTTATATATTTTAATGAAAAGCATAGGAACCTAATATTCTGGCTTGGTTCTTCCCAGAGGCAACAGGGATGACTTGTAAGCCACTTCTGACCTTCTTGATTCATTGTAACGGCATAATTTACATTCTTCTCTTGATATATGAATATATGAGGGAGATTTTATATCTAAGGAGAATATATCTTTTTTCTTTACTAAAATTTGTTTGATGTTTTGTGTTTACACCACCTTTATTTCTGTGTATTTCCCTACTCCTCATGCCCAGAAGTGTGAGAAAAAGAAAGAAGAAAATAGAAGGAAGAAAGAAAAGAATGTCAACTAACCATCCCCTTAGTGGAGTCAGAGATAGTATACATAGTGCTCCATACCCATAGACATTGTTTATAATGGAGAATACCTCATTATTATGTCTAAGTCTATGAACGTAATCAGTGCCTGCAGTATTAGGTTTACAACTTTTTTTTTTCATATTCCAAAACAAGATGCCGTGGACATAAGTTTAAATTCTTCTTACATTTTGATTCCCAAATATTTTTTTCAGGGTCTCCAAAACTGTATGCCAGTACCATATGAAATGAGAATAGTCTGTCTTTTTAGGCAGTTATCTTCAGGGAGGTGATGAGAAGTTGTATCACAGTCCCCTATGCCCTTACCCTGATGACATTTCAGCCATTATAGGTTCATTGGGGTTTAAGGCATTTAAAATTTTCAAATAAGTAGAGGGTTGGGCTATTTGTTAGTCATTGATATCCTAGTATAGATTAATACAATCAAATATCTTTTATTCTCAAATATAGCAGACAGCTGTGCCTCTATGGCCATAGGAATTTTGAGAGTAGGTTGAAGAAGTGGTACATTGGTAGATGAGAGAGTTTTAGAGGAGGTAAGTCCTGGGCAATTAGCCAAGTAAGGTTTTTCTGAAAGCTAGAGGGATAGCATAAATGCACTAGGCACCTGGTGGTTAGGGAAAAAGGTACCAACAATTAATTTTGCCTATTTTTTCTGAATAGGCATACTGTGAGGTGGTTATGAGAGACTATGATTTACAATTAAGAAAGCTTACTTGTTTCTGCTTAGCTTGATCTTTGCCAAACTCCATCTTCACTTATAATCACAGTAAGGTCCCTAGTGACATATGTAAAAACTTAGGCACCACTACTTTACTACTGTGACACTTTAATCACCTTGAGTGTTTTGCTAATAAGTCCATCTAGAGATGGGCATATCCTGAGCTTAGTAAAGAGAAAAAGCACAAGATTTATAGTCAGAGGAAATGGGTTTCAGTTCTGGTTCTTCTACTTACTATCTATGTGATGTTGGCAAGTAATTTAACCTCTCCAGGCCTCAGTTTCTTCATCTGTTAAAAGAGGAGTTAGGCTAGATGTCCACTAAAGATTTCTTCCTACTTATAATCCATGATTCTATGGTATTTTTTTTCAGAAGGAAGCAGGTAATTAGACAACAGACATTTATTAAATACTTACTATGTGGAAATCATTGTGCTAAACGCTGGGGATTAAAAATACAAGCAAAAAAGACAATCCTTGCCCACAACAATTTTACACTCTAAAGGGGGAAGACAACACGTATAAAAGGGAGCTGAAAAACAAAGGGAGTGGGGTGATAGAGAAGGTACTCATCTTGGGACATGATGGAAAAGTCCAGAGTCAGAAGGTCAGCCCAGAGGTGAATGAAGGATTACCAGCTTAAGCTCATTGCCAAAATAAAGTATCCAGAAGGGATTTAGCAATGGGAGAAGGCGACTGGTATGGTGGAGTGATGTTCCAGGATTAGAACACCCCAGGCTTTGAGGAGAGTTTCAGAATGAAAAGGAAACTGAGTCATGGTAGTGAAGGATATTAGTACTCTGTAATAATAATAATGATAATAATAATATGATGATGATAGATGGCATTTACATAGCACTTTAAGGTTGGCAAATTATTTTACAAATATTATCACATTTTATTCTCACAAAACCTTGGAAAGTAGGTGCTATTATAAATCTCATTTTACAGATGAGGAAACTGAGACAGACTAAGGTAAAGTGATTTGTGCATGGTTATACAGCTAAGTGAGCACAGATTTAAACTCAAGATTTCCTGATTCTGGGTCCAAAACAAGCAAAATGAGGAAAAACTTCTCTTGATATCAATGTATTACCCTGCTTTATATAGGGGCCCAGGGTTTCTAACTTGGGGCTTTTAGGCATCCATGATACTTGTGTTATGTAGAAAAATGAATTATTCAATCAATAAAAATTTATTGTCCATATATGTGCCAACATAGCTAGATGCTTGAAGTAAAAATATGAAAGCCATGCAGGTCATGCCCCCAAAGAACTCATTGTCTATTGGGAGAAGTAAAATAACCAGAGATTGATATTACAGAGTTAGTTATGTTTAACTGGCATTAATGAGGTACAACCAATGCTAACATCCTCTGAGCCTTATTCTGGCATGAAGGTGACCTCAGGTTCTAGCTTGCTATGCTAGTGAAGTGCAGACTTTATAGAGCAAGTCCCTATAAGGTAAGTCTTCAGTTAGAGAACTAGGAAGATAATTTCTATCTGTCAGTCAAGAGCCAATTCATTAAATTTACAGAAGACCATCGTTTCTTAAAATAGTCTAAGGAATGGAAGAGGTTCCACCTATATTTTATGAGAATATTCACACCCATTAAACATCGGATTGCTTTTATAAGTGTTGTAGCAATGAGCTACAAAAGCTATCTTATTAAGATTTTTTTCATTTTAAAAATAATTTGTATTTATGTCTTTTGTTTTTATATTGTATTCATTTCTGCATATATTCCCTCCTCTATCAGTTGAGCCATCCCTTGTAAGAAGGAATAAGAAAGAATTAAAAATAAATCAGTAAAACCAGCAAATACATTGACTATGTATGACTAGAAGCACATATAGTAATCCACACCAATAGTCCCCCTTCTGCAATGAAGAAAGTTGGGTTTGTTTGTTTGTTTGTTTTCAATTTTACTATGGAATTATGTTTGGTCAATATAATTACACGATATTCAGTCTTGTTTTATTGGGTTTTTATTTGTATTGATGATGTCATTACACACACACACACACACACACACACACACACACACATATACATGTATACAAATCTTTCTTTCCTTTCTTTCCTCCCTCTACAACAATTCATGTATTTCCATGTTCCTTTGAATTCTCGGTATTTGTCATTTCTTTTTCATAGTGCAGCAATATTCCATTCATTCATTTATCAAAGTTTGTTTACTCATCTTCAAATGATGGATTCTTGCTTTATTCCTAATTCTTTGCTACCCCAAAAGGTGCTGTTCTGGATATTTTGGTATATACATTAACTTTCTGTTTTTGACATCTTTGAATATTTGCCCAGTGGAATCTCTGGGTCAAAGGTATAGACATTTTAGTGATTTAGGTTTTTTTTTTTTAATTTTTAAAGCACATCGGAGTGGTATAGTTGACCTTAGCCCCGATATAAATTGACTGAGTGAGTGTGGGCAAGTAACTTACACTCTCAACGCTCTTGGCCAGTGAGATCAAATTCAAATAGAAACAGATCCCTGCTACCATGTTGATTTGGAAAACCACAAATTTGCATTATCTACATTGTATTATGATTTTATTCATTCCATTAAACATTTCACAATTGTACTTTGATCTAGTGGGGAAATTTGCCAGCAAACAACTCTTTAAGATGTAAGCAGCCCAGAGAGTATCAACCTGCTTACATAATGGATGTTTCTACAATCAGAATTTCCTACAGAAGTAAAATTGCAAGTCCAGTCCTTGTCTCCTAGAGTTAGTACATCAGCCATTTTGATTTTGCCCACCATTCCATCTAGGCTGCCATCAGCCTGATCTCATCAGTTGTTTGTCTTACTGATTTTGAAAAGCAGTGTCATTTTGTACATTTCTTTTTATATTGAGCAAGTTTTGGTACACATGCAATAATTTCTCTCATCAGGCAGTCAGAAGGCATAATTTCAGCATGTTTTTCATTTCAAAACAAAAATGGACCTGCCAATGGCCTTAGCAACAGCTGGCATTGTAATCTCTTTGTTTGAAAATATCTATTTTTCCCATCCAGGTTTTTTTTTTAATGGTGCTGTTTTGAAAAGCATTGGGCTTTGTATTTCAGGTACTATAGCCAAAAAGTATTAGAAAAAAAAATGAGGTCCTTTGGTAAGCAGCTAGCTCAGAGAAAAATTTAAAAGCTGGGAAAACCATAACCAAACCAACAAGGCCATTAGATGCTAAAGTTCTTCTCTGACATTCTGTGGTCTCAGGCTGTGATGTGTATTTTGGGAGAGGTAACAACAATTCATATGTATTCACCAGGCCACATGAACCCGTATGAAAAATATAAGCACTCATAGTGGGGAGGGAGGAAATAGGTTTTGCATGAATGTCTACAAAACTATGATAATTAATAAAATAGCCAGTTAAAATGGAAAAGCACACAGAGCTGCTTGGCTTTTGATTTGTATTTCCAACAGAGAGAAAAGTACTTTGAATTTCTAAGTAACAACTCTTTCTCTTTTTTTTTTTTTCAGAACAGTTTAAATGCATGCACATATATTTATCTATTTACACATTTATTTTAGTTCCTGGATTGACGGGGGTCTGCATGGTGTTGGTGTTGTTCCTCATGATTACAGCTTCTACATATGCCATTAGGTAAGAATCAGTCCCATTGTTTTCTTTTTTCAATCTAGGTGTTTTTTTTCCCACTTTACATTTTCTTTTATGCTTGTTATAACTCAGTGAAATCTCCTTTCACCAGAATGAAGTGATGAATGATAACACATTTATTAGGTACCATGAATGAATAAATTTTTATGAAAGCATTTATTAAGCACTTATTATATACAACGCACTGTGCTAAACTCTTGAGATACAAACAGAAAACCAAATAGTCTCTGCTCTCAAGGACTCACATTCTAACAGATAGAGACAAGTACATTATTTTTTTAAATTTTTCTGATGAATTTTAAACAGCATTGCATGTTTTTGTTTTTATCTTGGTTTAAAAGTCTTTTAAAACTGAGTTCCATTTTTCCTGGCATAGTAAGTATAATATATTGAAAACAAATTTTGGGAGGTGCTAATGAAGGCTTCAACTGAGCCTTAGTGTATTCATTCTGAATATTGATTTCTTTTTGAGAACCTTTTTGGGCCTCATTTTTAATACTTGAAAAATAAAATTATTGGATCAGATGATTTTAAAGGCCTTCTACAGCTCTAAAACTTATTTTCCTGTAATTATTTCTATAACAGGCATTAGAGATTCAGTTGACTAGGCATTGATCCTAGGAGGGGAACATATGTGCTTTTTTTTTTGTTAAACAAAACAAACAACAAACCTCAAATACCTCATATGAGCTTGTTTTGTTATATTATAAATTTATTTATTTGTCCTGTAGTTATAGCACTGGAAAACAAAATTAATTGAAGGCTTGGGTAATAAAAATGTACTTTGTGCCTGAGAAAAAAGCTTTTCTGACAACAGATTATCACTTAAATAAAGAAAGTATTATCATTGTCCCCATTCTGGGTTTAAAAAGGCATCTTTGAGGCCCAGGCATCTGAAGAGATCTGAACTTGCATAACTAATAAATGGAAAAAGTGGGACAAGAAGTCAGATTGCTGAATACCTAGGCCAGGGCTTTACCACAATGCTGCACAAAACCATAGATTCCCTTAAGGAGGAAATAGCCTTTATCTGGAAGAGCTACCCAATTAGGCTTATTTTATTAGTTAAGACATTTAGGTAATTTGAAATTCATATTTTATCAGTAATTACCTTATTGAGATTTTTCCTAATTGAGCCATTTTTTTCTCAGCCCAAGTTTTTTAAATTTCTAATCAATTTTATTTAGAAATATCTGTCACTTCTTTCTGAATACTAAAGACTTCCTTTTTTGTGTTTAAGTTCTTGTTAATTTTTAAAATTTATTTTAAACTTAAATATAAAATGAGAAAAGAAATAAAAAAATTTCATGTACACAGCAGAACATATGAGAGGATTCAATATAAAATAATAAACTTCCATATCAAGAAAACCTATATAATAAATATTATGCATTGTTTTCAAAGCTACCCAGCTTTTTTGTGCTTTCTTCTAGATTTTCTTTTGCTCTCTGCTGTGCACTTTTTATTTATTTACTTGTTCATATCCATTGACCGTTTCTCAATTGGGGTATGATTCATATTCTTATAAATTTGACAAAGTTCTTTATATATTTGAGAAATGAGACCTTTATCTGCGAGATTGTCTCTGAAAGTTTTCTCCCAGTTTTTTGTTTTCTTTCTAATCTTGGATTTATTAGTTTTATTTACATAAGAACTTTTTAATTTAAAATAATTGAAATTATCCATTTTATACCTCAACAATGCTCTCTCTCTCTTCTTTCTTTGTATGTTATTCTCTTTTCTATGAGTCTGATAGGTAATGTGCTCCATGTTCTTCTAAATTGCTTGTGATATCTCTTTTTATATCTAGGTCATGTAACAATTTTGACCTTATTTTGGTACATGGTTTAATGTATTGGTCTGTACCCAATTCCTGCCAAACTGCTTTCCAGGTTTCTCATCAATCTTTACCAAATTATGGATTCTTATCCCAATAAATCAAATCTTTACATTAGTCAAACACAAAGTTGCTGTAGTCCTTTGTGGAATAAATAGATTAATTAGATAAAATGGGTTTTTTTTTGTATTATATTTACTTTGGCTACCCAGGAACAATTAATATTTCTCCAATTATTTAACTCTGAACTTATTTGTATAGAGTGTTTTATATATATGTTCATGTAGTTCCTTTGTTTGTTTTGGCACTTATATTTTCAGGAATTTTATACTGTCTAGTTATTTTAAATGGTCTAAAACAATATCAAATAATATTAGTAATACCTAGTGTAGTTCCCTGTTTTCTCTTTTAACTAAATCTATTTTAACTTTAACTTTGTCTGAGATCATAACTACCCCTGCTTTTTTTTTCACATATTAAATTCTACTCTAGCTCTTTATTTTTAACTCTGACTGTATCTCTCATTTTTATTGTGTTTCCTGAAAGCATCATATTGTTGAATTCAGATTTTTAATCCATTCTGCTATACATTTCCATTTTATGGGTAAATTCATCATATTCACATTCAAAATTATAATTGCTTGTTGTGTATCTTCCTCCATCCTATTTTTCTTCATTATACTTCTCATCCTATTTACCCTATCCCTCCTGACTCATCTTATTTACTTCTACCTGCTGTCTTGCCCTCCCACTCCTTAATCTACCCACCCCTCTAAGAGTCTCTTCCTTATCCTCTGTTCCCACTCTCCACCTTAATTCACTTTTCTCAGAGTTTCTCCTTTATTCCCTTCCCCTTTTAATTCTTAACCTATATACCCTTCTAAAAGTTGTTCCTTATCCTATCCCCTCCCTCTCTTATTTCTTTCTAAATTTAGAAGACTTTTATATCCTTCTCGATGTATATGTTGTTTCCTCTTTAACCCATTTCAGATGAAAGTTTCCAGCAAGATGGCCTCCCATCCTGACTTGCTTCTTCTATATAACTCTCCCTCATTTGTATGAGATAAGTACTCCTTTTTATCTCTCCCTATGCAGTTTTATGTTTTATAATCACCCTATCATATACAGCTAAGCCCAAGCCTATCTTTCACACTACCCAAATAATGACAGTCAAAAGAGTGCTGATAACATTTTTACCTATAAGAAGTAAATAGTTTGACCTTATTAAGTACCTTATAATTGATCTTTAATATTTACCCTATATTTCTCCTGGATCATATGTCAAATTTTCCATTAAGTTCTGCTGTTTTTGTTACAAATACCTAAAAGTCTTTCAATATCCTTTTGTTTTTTCATTAAGGATTACACTTAGCTTTGCTTGGTAAGCTACCCTTGGTCATAACCCCAGTTCTTTTGCTCTATGAAATATAATGTTCCAAGACATGCAGTCTGTCAGTATAGAAACTGCTAGATCTTGTGTAGACCTGATTGTACCTCTGTGATATTTAAATTTATTTATTTTTTTCTTGTTGCTTGCAATATTTTCTCCTTAATTTGGGACCTTGGAAAATTGGCTATTTCTTTAAGTTTTCCTCCTTGAATCTGTTTCAGGTAGTGATCAGTGGATCTTTTGTATTTTTGCTTTACTTTCTTATTCTATAACTTGGGGGTAACTTTTCTTAATAGTTTCTTATAACAGCATATCAAGATTCTTTTTTTGATTCTTTTTCTGTTACTCCAGCAATTTTGTATTGCCTGTCTGTAATCTCTTCACCAGATGCGTTGTTTTTCTGATGAAATATTTCACATCTCTTCTATTTTTTCATTCTTTTGATTTTGTTTTATTATTTCTTGTCATCTATCACATCATTAGCCCAATTCTAGTTTTTCAAGAAATTGCTTTCTTCCTTAAGTTTTTGATTCTCTTTTCCCAGTTGGTTGATTTTCTTTTCTTAATTTTCTTGTATTGCTTTTATTTTTTTCCCTAATTTTTCTCAATCTCTCTTATTTGATTTTTAAGGTCCTTTTTTAAGTTCTTCCAGGAATTCTTTTTGTGCTTGTGACCATTTGGCATTTCTCATTGAAAAAGGAGAAGCTTTATTTTTTTAGCTCCACTATCTTCCTCTCAATATGAACCTAGATCTTCTCTAGCCTCATAGTGGCTATTTTTGATTGGGTTCTTTCTCTTTTGCTTACTCATTTTTATTATTTTCTTAGCAGCTTATTATAATCAAATTCTAGTTGAGGTTTGGGAGATGCTCCAGGCCTCAGGTCCTTCATACTATTATTTTCTGAGCTCTCTCCCAGGGCCTAACCTTGGACACTCCTCTCGACCCCAATGCTATGGCCAGGGGCCCTAGCCACACTGCCCCCAAAACTGTTCCCTGTGGTCTCTCTGGTGTCTACAAATTTCAACTGCACCCTCTGCCTTAGAATGGAAACCAGGAACTCTGCTGTCCTACAAGTTCCCATAGTCAGCAGGGTTCCTCCCCCTCTGCTACCACACCCACCAGGTGCACGACAGCTCCTTCTCCCCACCCCAACCACAGCCCAGGACCATGCCTGCTCAGTACAACTGTGCCCAGCATCCCTTGACAGTGGAAGGTCCCTCAGTCTTCTCATACTCAGCTGTCTGACCCCCATACTATCTTTGAGGGGAAAGTTCCTGAGGCTGAGGCTGCCTCCTACCCCAGATGCACCTAGGGCTTGTTACTTGTGGATTCTGTGGAGTAGGCCTGGAGGTGTTTGCATTTCACTCAGGCCAAACCCCCACCCCTTAATGTCTAGTCTTTCTGGGGTCTTCTTAAGTTGTCTTAGGAAAACAACTACTTTACCTGGACTTTTGTTTATTTATGCTATCTATGTTCACTTTGAGATGGTGTTCTGTCTTTTCTTGTGGAGGAAATTTGGAGAGCCTAAAGTTTTCTGACCTACTCCATCATCTTCCCAGAATCCTTTCCCTGTGTTAAGTTCATGAGAGAAAATTTATTTTCAGAGTTTATTTTGCTGAGCTAAAATCATCAGACAGTAAGTTAATTGCATTTTTGAAATCTTTTTAAAGTGTGTCGGGATTGTTGAAGTAGGTCTGATTACGTGAATGAAGGTATCTGACTTATACACATCTTGTATTTGGAAACAGACATAATTA